TGGGCTGATATCGCTGTGTTGCTGGCCTCCAGTCAGGTCACAAGGTGGAGGGCTGCATGCCGGCGGGGACGTTTGGGCTCTCAGACAGCTGAGGCATCAGAGCTGAAGGAAATATCTTCCCAGAGATGTTTGGCCATATTTCTAGGACCAGGTTAAAGCTTCACACAGAAGCTGAGTTAACACTGGTATGTCTATGAGAGGGTCATGTCCAGAAACAGCTTTCTCCTTCCAACAGAGACTTTGTAGGAAAAAAATCTCCATGCTCATATTTCTCTACCCCAGGAGGCGCTTCTGGAATCTAAGAGGCCATTTAGTGTCAAATTCTGCCCCACCAAGCATTACATAATGGTGATACTGTTAAGGACATCATATATGTGAGGCTGAATTATCCACAATGGCTGGCAATGTCTTCATTCTCCAGAATGAGGCTCCGGCCTCTTTGCTTTGGCAAGAGTTGATCTCAGGACTGCCTGAAACCAGAAACTCCAGGCAAAGCTCTTTGGGTCACTCTTCTGAAAAGGAATCACAATAATAAGATCTGTTATCTTGGTACTCTGTAAAGCCAGGTGTCGGCCTTCACTACAGTGAAAAGTGAGTTTGTCAGAACCAGTGTGATTGTCTGCTGATTAAGCCATCTGCCACCATGGAAATGGACTGAGATTGTCAACTGGTGCACTGGTGCTGACAGCCACATTTTTACATACTGGGCCTTTGGCTGCCATCTCAACTTTGTCTTTCCAGAAGTCAGTTCTTGGGAGGCAGACTCCAGGCACCACATTCTAGAGGGCCTCCATGCATGCTCAGGCTTCTTCTCACAGCAGGCACACCCTGCCTAAGCCGCACTCCATGCACTGAGGGACAGTTGGGGCAGGAGCTCTCACGCAGCCAGGTGTTGGGCTCTGCAAGGAGGTTTGTGTGGGGATGTGAGCCACTGGGTCGGCTCCCTGGTCCAGACTTCTGCATTCAGGATATAGACATAGCTCTGTGTGTATGTTGGGGACTGGAGATGACCACACTACTACATTTTTCTTGAGTGACTTTTAGTAGGAAAAAAAAAAAATGAACCCTCTCTTCAACACTGACATTGTTTAAAACACATAAAATGCACATCACTTCACCAAGCAGCATTCAGGCCTTGACTTCCCTGTGGGAACAAGCTTTTAGCCTATGCCTCATAAATAGGTGGATTGTGATCCACTCTACTCAGAGGGGACACGGGAGTGACGCAGTCTTTACCCCTCAACACCCCAGATGGAAATCTTATGCCAGAGGCTTAATTTTGTGAAGTCAGGGAAGGAGCACTGGGTTCTCTTCAACTAGTGATATCATGAACAATAAGAAGAATTGTGTATATGTAGCAAGTAGGAGAAAATATTGGCCAAGTTTATCTATTCATTCAACAAATACTTACAGTCTACTAACTCTGTGTGGGGCCCTGTTCTAAGTGCTTGGATATATCCGACCCAACAGAGATCCCTACTCTTACGGACCTGATGTTCAGGAGGCAGGGGGATAGGAACCATAAACGACAAACACTAATTAATTACTGATTAAATTATGTGATAAGTGGAAATAGAAGAGCAGAGGAAGGAGGATGAGGGAGTTGCGGGGAGGAGGGAATTAATGTGGATTTGGGAGGCTGCCCAACATGTTTCTGGGTCTGAATTTTTTTTGGTCTATGACACAAACCATATTCTTGATTGCTAACATCCACTGAGGCCCCCTCTGTGCTGGGCACTATGCTGGGTGTTTACTTGGGTATCTCATTTACTCTGCAAGACTGGCCTGGTTCTTCATACCCCTAGGGCAGAATGCAAGACTTTAGTTCTTGGCCTTCTGCATCTTCATGCTTTTTCTTTGGAGCAGAAATTGCTCTGAAAATGCTGGTTTTAACTTAAATCTTACATTGACCAGACGTCTCTTCGAGCCCCAGAGCCTACGGAGTGCTTTTGTTAAAACCCAGAGCCAATGGGCTCAGGCTGCCCTTTGTGCAGCCAGGTACCAGTGGGAGGATTTTCCATGCAATTACTTGGGAATGAAAAAGAAATGAGAGGGAGGCCTGTGGTCTTTGCTACTCTGACTCCACAGGCTGCTGGGATGGACGTTGGATGAAGACACCAGCTTAGGGCATGGCCTGTTGCTATTTATGACTCTATTACTTCACAGTGAGAGCACAGTTCAGGCTGACTGCTGGGTGGCCTCTGTGTTTCTGTCACTTCCTTTTTTTACCTATGTGAGGACTGTAGCATTGGTTGGGACTTCCAGAGTCCTGTTAGCCAGGCTTCTGCCATCAGATGGGCCTGTGGACACATTGCCCCATCAAACGCTGCCTCCTTCCTAAGGCCCTGGGGCATCACAGAAAGATGGGGCTGCCAAGCCACTGCTCTGATAAGGCACACCTTCAACCAGGCTCCATCACTCAGAGCTACGGGAAAATCCCATGGTCATATGCCCTCTGTTGGTGACAGGGAATTCTGTCATGCATTCAGATTTTTGCATGTCTGCTCTGTCCCTGGAACTAGAATAAGAGAATAGGGAGAAAAGCTGATAAGAAGTCAGTGATAACTATAGCCATGGCCATAATTTAGGCTCCAAAAAAAATAATTCTGAGTGGTTACCAGATAGCTTTCAGAGAGGGTTGAAGCCTTCAGTAGACTAATGATTGAGCAGAAAAAATGTTTAGAAAAACTTGAGACAGATTTTATCCATGCAGTAAGTCAGAAGTCAAGTCAGAAGTTCAGATGACATTTACGATTCCTGAAATTTAGTGATTTTTTTTTTCTTTTTGTTTGAATGTGTCACTTCTCTTCTACTTTCTGTTCTGCTCCCACTAGAATGATCTTCTTCCCCCAGGCCCTCGGATCCACCCCACATACCACCACAGGCTCATTCTTTGCCACACCCTGTTTTCTAGCATGGCTGCATGCACAAAACCTCCCTTAGTTCCCACTGCCTGCAGCGCCAAGGTCACAGAGTTTACTGAGCTACCATCAGCAAGACCTTGAACATGCCTCGGCCCTCTCTCCTCTCCCTCTACATTGCTCTCCTTCAGTGGTACAGCTCCTCCCATGGCTGTCTCTAGACCTCGCCTTGACATCTCGCCACCCACCTCTGCCTTGTTCCTGCGTGATCCACTCCCCTCTCTCGGCCCTCGTTCCACTCACCTCTCCCTCAACCTCCAGGAGCCCTTTGTGTTTCCTCCACGCCTTAGGCACATGACCCGTGTTTCCTCACAATCACAGTTACCCTCTCATACTCACATGCAAGGACAAGAAACATGTTTCCTATGACTTCACACCCACTCCCTGGCCATGCACACAATGCAGTGTAGAAGTTGGTCCCAAATCTATTACCGGAGGCCTAAGCAGCAGCCTCCTCCTGCTCAAAGAAAAATGTTCTGCCACTGCCAACATTGCACTTCCTCAGCAAGACATCTCAGAAAATGCCCATCAGAGCCTTCCACCTCATTCCAAGCTTGCAAACAAGCTGTTTTTTCATTTGTCTTGTTTGTTTTTAAGCAAGAAGCATCCCTTTAGAGGACGAATTAGGAAAGAAAAAAAAATCAAACAAAAACAAAAACAGGAGTGGAGCTTTGCCTCTCTCTTTTGTCCCCTGCCTTGCCCTTCCTCCCCATCCCATCCCCCTCACTTTCTGTGTTGCTTTTCATGCCAGTTGCTAAAGACTGTAATTTTAAAACTGAACTGGCTTTTCCAGAGCCTTGAGGAATGTGCATCTGCACGTGGATTTTTCCACAAAAAAAAAATGTCCCTGTTTTTTGGATCTTCTTAGCCAGAAACAATGAGGCCAGGCAATCAGAGTCCACCCGTCTCCCGACTCTTATTCTAATTTGTTTGAGAGGCTCAGAAGGGGCTGAAGGGCATGGTTTGTGTTTTACCCTGTCAGACTCTTGTTTGATGAGGTTTGTGCTCCATTTGTTCGGATGGTTTTTATGGTTTCTTTGTTGTTCGTGGAATGACTTTGAAAGTCATAATTCTGTATCCTCAAGCTCCTCTGCTATTCCTGCTCAATGTCTCAATGGGACTCCACCATGAGAAAGGGAAGGAAGAAGTTTCCAGCTAGTTAGTTAATCGATTTCTGAGCACGTTTACGGAAGCATGTGGAATCTTTCAAGAAAGAGGTTACGATCACAAAAGTTCAGATTTGAGGAGTATTCTCCAAGACAATCAAGAAGCAAGCCCTTAGTCATGCCCAGGTGGGGAGCAGGTCTCCATCCACTCATTTCCTGATCCAGCCCCTCTCCCAGCCACATTTCTGGCCTCTTCCCTTTCTCTGTGGTCATCAGCCCAGTCCTCTCCACTGTCAATAGAAAAGCCCAAGAGCCCTCAGAGAGCCTGGAATGTGCTCCCACCCCTGTGATGTCATCCCACATCATCCATGTTCTGAAATCGGGGACTGGAGTTGGCCCCCAGGAATGTCACGGCCCTGGGCTTTGAGACACTCTTTTTATGGGCCTTTCACCCAGTCCAGACCTTGCCTGCTCTTCAGAGCTGCTTGAAGGATTTTGCCTCAGAACTACGGACATTTAAAAAATGTCTAACCTTGTGTCAGTTTATATTTGTAGAAAGCTTCATAAGGTGCTTTTCCATATGTTATTTCATTTGGTCATTTCCACAACCCCATAAGGTAGATAAAACATAAATTTTTATTTCCACATTAAAGAAAATTGAAGCCCAGAGGAGACTTTTTATTCATCCCAGGTTTCACAACAAATAGTGTCAGGGAGAGAAATTGAACCAATCCTCTGACTTCACATTGAGGGTTCTTCCCATTACTTTGGCTCCCAGATCTTCTCAAAGAGTGTTAAAGTTCTTTCCGCCACCCCAATCCCAGGGGGTGAGTACACTTCCAGAATTTAGGGATGCTTTAAAAGCCATTGCTGAATTGAATTTTATTTCTCCTGATCACTATAGATAAAGCTCACGCAACTTTTCTGAGAAGCAGGCGATGCTAATATACCCCTATTTGTTATTGTTCATTAGACCCTTCTTATGACTCAGTCAGAAGAGGAGCATGGGGCAATAACATGAATTCTGGCCTCAACAAAAGTAAGTAAATGTCTTATAATTCTGTGGAGGAAAGCATGTTTCTGAGGACGGGGTTGGAGAACAGGATCATAAGATACAGGAGAGCAGCAAACATTTGTTTCCCTGCTTTTTGAGTAGACATCAAAATTATTTGCCAATTTAGGGCCTTTCCATGATACCCAGTCCTTGAAAGATGGTATGAGATTTTCATTTAGATTTTTGAGTTTTGTTTTATTGCACTCCGTTTTAGAACATTGGAAGTTTGAAGGTTTTCTTGAGACAAGGTTCTATACCAATGAATGGTCACTGTCACTGGCTGTGGCTTCTGTTATTTAAATCAAGGTAATGACTCTCTATAACTTTGCTCCCCTAACTGTTGAGGCTAAGTCATACCAATTTCCCCATCCCCCTTGATACTGGGTAGACTTCAACATATCATCACTTGGTGGAGAAATTGATGTCTCAGACCCCCGCCATCTCCTCCACATCTTCCATCCCTGATGAGGAGATGCCGGGGGGGTCTGGGACATCAATTTCTCCACCAAGTGGTGAGATGATGGCATGTCGAAGTCTACCCAATATCGCCCATTAAGGGAATAAGGGGCAAGAATGACTCACGAACTCTTGTACCAGAAATCAATCTTGCCATGCCTAGAAAGCAAAATATGAAGCACATGAGCAGGTGGTAAAGGAAATTCTTTCAAGAAAGAGGTTGGGGTTACAAATTAATGCCCAAACAATAACCAAGACCCCTTCCAAATATGTGTATTAATTATTTACTTACTCTGCACATGACATTTGGCAATATAAGATTCACAAAGATGAATCAGACATGCACTGGTCCCATAAGCGGGAGAGAGAAACCACGCACACACAGAACTCCTTTCATCTGGTTGGTATCAAGGAAGGCTTGTGGACCTGGTAGCACTTGAGTCAGCTCTGGAAGGAGAGGCAGGATTTGGACCTGTGGCAATGTGGGCTGGGGAAGACGTCAGCTTGGCATGTCTGACAGTCAGAGAGGACCTCAGGTTCCTGGAGTTTAGGATGTGTGATGTAGAAGAAGTCTGGAAAGGTAAGAAACAGAATCGTAAATGATGCTATGAAGATAGGCCTTAGTTCTTTAGGCAATGAGGAGTCACTAAGGTTTTGAACAGTGGCGTGCATGGTGGGTTGTGGGGAGAGAGAAGAGTAATGAGGACACCAGTCAGACTAAGCCACAAACCATGCAAGAAGCAACACAGATCTGCAACGCAGAAGTGATCATGGGAATGGAAAGGGTGTGTGAGAGATACCAAGGAGGAAACTCATAAGACGGGGACACCGCTAAGCAGCTGATCTTTGCTCAGATGTCACTTTCTCAGTCAGGACTTCTCTAACTTTCCGATTTGAAAATGAAATCCGCGGCCTCAGTACCATCAGTGATGCTCTACTGTTGGTTTACTTTTTAAAAATTTGAAAATGAAAAGGTGACATTTGAGCAAACACAAAATTTTAGGAATTTTAAAATGTGTTTGTTGTTGTCTCTCCCATTGGATTGCAAGTTTTACCAGGAATGGCTTGTTCATTCCTGAATCTCCAGCATGGAGAACAGGGCCAGCACATAGCAGATTCTAGGTAAATGTTTCTAAAACAAGAGGAATAAATGAGTCAGTGGAGAGTGGGTGAAGGAATGAGTGAGAAAGCATATCTGTCAAGACGTCTCACTCCCTTCGGGGAGCCGGGTCCTACTCACTGCATTTCTTTCCCTCTTGCCACAGGTCCTCCCCTTGGAGGGGCACAAACGATCAGTAAGAATACAGAGCAACGGCCCCAGCCAGGTACCTGCCCAGGATATGTAATTTCTCCTTTGCTTCCTGCACAGTTGATTCCACATGGTCAACTGATGGAGGCTTTAAACAATATACTACATATGTTCTCTCTTATTTCTCTCAAAGAGGGTCTATCTTTGACCCTAATAGGCCTGCGAATGAAGTAACAGGTACTGAAATCAAGTGGAGACTTGTTAAATATAAAGGTGAAAGGAACTTGAAGATGAACTGTTCCAATGCTTTATTTTGTTAAATAAAGAAACTGAGGCCCGGCGAGGTGAAGTGACTCGCTAAAAACCATACAGCTGGTTAATGAAAGAAATAGAGCTATAATCCCAGACCCCCAAATTCCTGTCCAAGCCTTTTATACTTCACCAAACCTTACTTTCAGAAATATCCCCACCCTGTGATGGATCGGCTTAACAATTAAGGCAGAGGAACTTTTAAAGCTGTGGACTTGGAGACTCCGTATTGGAGAGGAACTTGGAGATTTCTGGGTCTATCATACCCTCACCTCTACCTTACTTGTGCTTATAGTAAACCAGGGCATTGACTCTCTAGCTGGGCCCAGTTCCACTATCTGACCCAAAGTCCGCCTCCTGGAATTTCCGCTCAAGCTTTGCCTTCTGGAGAAGCCTTCCTCCTGCTTTCTCCGAAACCCTTTGCGTATCTGAAGACAGCCGCTGTGCCCAAGCCCCAGCTCCTCTCTCTGTCTTCTTATGTGATGCAGCTGAGATAAAGTTCTGAACAAGTCATTTGCTTTGGGGTAGGCAAACATTATTCTGCATCTCCACAGAAGGCAGAGCAAGAGAAAAATCAACCGACATTTCACCTGGAAGGTTAAGAAAAAATTTGCTGACTGTGGATCACAAGTCAGAATTAGAGAGTTTTAAAGACTGTCCAATAACAACAAAATTATGCATTAGGCATCACCTGCCAAAAATACTTGAGTTATCATATCAATGGTGTGGATGAGAAAAGATGGTCTCAATGGGCTTAAGGACTCTTGAAGTTAATTTATGGTTCCAAGTAGAAACCCAAAAATCATATTGGTATTTTTAAAATTGTAATTATAGTTTAAAAAATAGCAAAATTGCACAAAATACATGACAATTGTGCCAAGTCGAGACCCAGCTCTCTACCATGATTTCCTCAACTAACAAAAAAGGAGATAAACCTCTCACCTAAACCAATATTGCAAAGACTTTTTCATGGCTAAATGAACACATACGTTTTGAGTAAAGTGAGATTTTTAAGAATAGTCATTCTATAGCTAAAATACAAACTCTGGTTTGTGCTGACATTTCTAAGTTTCAAATCACAGAGTGTTATCCTAGAAGAAAACTGAGGAATCCAGTAGCCCAACCCACTCATTTGGCAGATGAGAAAACTGATTCCTAGAAATTGTCCAACAAGTTATTTGTTTATCACATAACTGCTGCTAAAACCCAGGCTGCTTGGTTTCTAGGCATGTGTTTTTCATGCTACATTTAAAAAACAGATTAATAAGGTTGTTAGTATTAGGTAGAGCTATTAAAGACCAGTAACCATGAGACCTTCTTTAAGCTCATGGAGTCAGCTGTCTATTGTATCATTGAATATTAGCCAGTTCCTTTCCAAATGTTTTCATTGTTTTGCCTTGGGTAATGACAACATAATCTGCATATTTTAGATGCCAAATAAGAAAAAGTAATCCTGTTCCTATTCTTTGTTGTTTCTGTCATTATTGAGATGAAGACCACAAATGTCATCAAGATCTTTGAGATCTGCAAATAAAAGCAGTAAAGTTTTCTGAAATCAGTCTTTCCCGTGATCTTGAAATAAAAGTATAAACCCTTATGGTTTTCTTATGGCGGTTGTCATATTTTTAATAACACTGAAGCAAATTTCCTTTTTTATTTCCTTAGATCCATATCAGATCCTGGGCCCGACCAGCAGTCGCCTAGCCAACCCTGGTGAGTTTACCTTGGCCTGCAAGCCTTTTTTTTGGCCAGAATGTTTCGTAGCTTTGTGAAGTCACAGAGAATTCTGTCCAGACACCTGAGTGGGGAGTAACATGCACCTCTTTCCTTGAAATGTTCAGTGTCTGTTTCTGGAGCATGTGAACAAGAGGTCAGGGCTTGTTATGAGGTGTCAAGGTTCATCAGCTGAGGATGCTTCTGGGAATAAACACTTTAGCACTGCATATGTGCACTTAGGTGTAGATAAGTAATGAGCGGCACAGGTAGGCATTTTAACTGGAGAAAATGGGCAAGAAAGAAAAAGAAGACAACTCCACTCAGCTCTCCGTTGTCTCCCGCATGCAAGGCACAAATAAGTAAATATTCCAAAGTGCTTTATTTGTGATTCTAGAAAGTGTTGCCGAGTTATCTGGCCTTATAAAAGCGATGTGTCCTGGAAAAGTTGCAGATATAGTCAATTTGACCTTGTATTTTAAAGATTTAGTATCAAAAATAACTCTCAAGAGGATCCTTCTAAACCAAGCCCATCAAGATTGGGAGCTAGCAGGCTCTTGCAGTAGTGTGGTCCACTCACCTTCCCATCCCAGGGACTCTCGCTACCCATTCCTTCATGCCTGGGCATTCCTGCCAGAGGACAAAGAAGCCACCCAGCATATTCTGGGTATTTTTCTCTCTGCACAAGTTCTCTGTAGAACTTAGAGCTGCAAGCCAAGCTGTAGGACCTGCCAGGGGCCAAAAGCTAAAGCTCGTGAGGCAGCTTCTCCCAATGACTCCCACAGTCATGCCTTGCCCCTGACTCTTTACTGCTGACAGGGAATTCCCTGGGAGACCTGACCACTAATTAGAGATCAGACAGTGGTTCAGGCCTTTCTAGATGAAGAGGTTCAAAAGCCTTACCAAAGGGGTTGAGGGAGGATGTCGCTGGCCTAAGATCACACAGCTAGTTCTGGGCAGAGTTTGCACCTCACTTCCCACATTCCATTTACCAGGCCTTGGGGCAAAGCATCTTAGGATCTAACCTCGCTTATTATACCCAAGGCAAGCAGAAAGGCAAATCAACAGTGAGAAGAAGGGCTTGTCAGGTCGATCCCGATGTCAAAGGAAACAAAAGGTTTCTTTAAAAGGATGAGAAGCTCCCTGCATTTAGGGAACTGGGTTCTGCCTTCTCTGGACTGAGGTGTTCTGTTCTCTCCCGTTTGCCTCACGGCCTGCAGGAAGTGGGCAGATCCAGCTGTGGCAATTCCTCCTGGAGCTGCTCTCCGACAGTGCCAACGCCAGCTGTATCACCTGGGAGGGGACAAACGGGGAGTTCAAAATGACGGACCCCGATGAGGTGGCCAGGCGCTGGGGCGAGCGGAAAAGCAAGCCCAACATGAATTACGACAAGCTGAGCCGGGCCCTCCGATATTACTATGATAAAAACATTATGACCAAAGTGCACGGCAAAAGATATGCCTACAAATTTGACTTCCACGGCATTGCCCAGGCTCTGCAGCCACATCCAACCGAGTCGTCCATGTACAAGTACCCTTCTGACATCCCCTACATGCCTTCCTACCATGCCCACCAGCAGAAGGTGAACTTTGTCCCTCCCCATCCATCCTCCATGCCTGTCACTTCCTCCAACTTCTTTGGAGCCGCATCACAATACTGGACCTCCCCCACGGGGGGAATCTACCCCAACCCCAATGTCCCCCGCCATCCTAACACCCATGTGCCTTCACACTTAGGCAGCTACTACTAGAAGCTTACTCATCGGTGGCCTTCTAGCTGAAGCCCATCCTGCACACTTACTGGATGCTTTGGACTCTACAGGACATATGTGGCCTTGAAGAGAAGACAAAACTGGATGTTCTTTCTTGTTGGATAGAACCTTTGTATTTGTTCCTTAAAAACATTTTTTTTAATGTTGGTAACTTTTGCTTCCTCTACCTGAACAAAGAGATGGATAATTCCATGGGCCAGTATGCCAGTTTGAATTCTCAGTCTCCTAGCATCTTGTGAGTTGCATATTAAAATTACTGGAATGGCTATGTCATGGTTCTGAGAAAGAAGCTGTACATTTTCTTTATGTTTTTATGACCAAAGCAGTTTCTTATCAATACACGGGTCTCATTAGGGGTTCAGTACGACACAGAATCATGGATTTAACCAGTCATGTTCTGGTTTGAGATTTAGTGAAAATAGAGGTGGGAAGCTTATAATCTAATTTTAGGAGGACCGAATTCAGTGGATGGCAACTGGAACATTGATTGTAAGGCCAGTGAAGTTTTCACCCAACTGGAATTTGATGGAAAGAAGGTGTGTGTGTTTAAGACGTCAAGGGCATTGCAGAATCCCCCTCAGTGGACAGTATGCACTCAACTGACCACTCTCTCTAGAAATAGTCAAGATACGAACTAAGAAATTTTAATGCAAATACATACATTCCTGAAAGATGGGGAATTAAATAACTATTTTTTTTAAATGATGACAGTGGGTCCCAGAACTTGGAAAAGTTGTAGGGATTTCTAAACTCAAACAGATTCGCAAGCGCTGTGCGCTTGTCAGACCATCCGACCAGGGTCAACCAATCAGAAGGCAACTTACTGTATAAATTATGCAGAGTTATTTTCCTATATCTCACAGTATTAAAAATAAATAATTAAAAATTAAGAATAAATAAACGAGTTGACCTCGGTCACAAAAGCAGTTTTACTATCGAATCAGTCGCTGTTATTTTTTTTAAATGTAATTTGTACATCTTTTATCAATCTGTACATTTGGGCTGTTTGTACGTTTTTATAGCTGGTTTTTAAAAAGCATAATATGACTATTGCTGAAAAGGAAACAGGGCTGTTTAAGTCACTGACTTACGAGAAAGCAAAGCACTGGTACAGTTATTTAACAGGCATACACAAGCAAGGAAAGATAATCCATTTAGATCTTTAATGCTTCGGAAATGTGTGTAACAGTACTGCAATAATCACAGCTCTGGGAAAAACAACAAAACTTTCCCTTGTGCAGAGGAGGGATTTTCCTGCTCTATATATGCAACATATTTTTAGACATTAAAATATATATAATTTTGCAGGTAATTGTTGACTTTTTTAACTATATGAAGTGTTAAGCTGACAACTGTCAATGAAGACCATGTTGTAAAATAATTTGACTAAATAAATGGTTCCTTCTCTCAGCGCTGAGGACAGTTTTCTTATTTACCGCCCCCGTGAGGTCAAAGGGTTTTTTTCTGGGGAACTTTCCTATTTACTTCCTGCACTATCAAGAATTTTTCAAATGTACATAGTGCAGTGCAGCAGAAGGTATAAAATCAATGTGGTTTTTCATTGTTGTTGATGATGTTTGTAGTATTTTTTCTTGTGTGTTATTTAAATCTTCCTCTAGCCTAAAAGGGTTTTATAAAATGGCAGCCAAGGCCATGGATAACCTGTATGTAAGGAACAGAGCAAAGCGAGCTGGTCTATCCAGACTTGTCTGTGAGATTTAACTCTGCAGCCTCCCCGGGGCACTTCAGACCCAGGTGGCCACCTTCTGCTACTCCCGCAGAGAATGAGCGCCCTGCTTCCCTCAGGTCTCAGACCAGGATTTTATGGCTCATGCAGATTTTTAAGGTCATTTTTCTTCCCAAGGAAGAAACTTGCCTCCAGTCGCTTCACTGTTAGGTAGCTTGTTTTCATTTTCTCTATTTTACAATGAAAAGAGCGAGACCTGGGAAGTCCTTGATTTGCAAGGAATTCAACTCATAGCATTGGTAATCCTAGAACCTTCTTTGGGTAACACTGAGTACCTTCAAGACAACGTGTCTACCTAAATGAAATGGGATGTGTTTCAGAACAATGGTCTCCAATTTTTTTTTTTAATCTTGCACCCTGCCATTTAAAAAGTTGTGTAAAGCACATATTCTCAACATATGCACATTGATTTATAAATCATATATACAAACTGTTACATTATTCTTCATATTAGAAAACAAATACAAAATAGAACATATTAAATGGTGTTATAAAAATAAATTGAAACTAAAATTCTACTGTTTTCTTCCTATTTTCTCTATACTGAATATCCTCTGCTGTTAACTCTCAAAACAAAGAAGTTAGTCGTTAGTGAAAAAAGTGTGTGTGCATGTACTGGGTTTCTAGTGACTTCTAAGAAAGGAGAAAATTAAAACTTGGTATTAGTGGCCCAAGCATAGAAGGAGGAATGATGAAGGCCAGGTATGTTTAAGAACCATCTAGCTGAATTCTTTTGCAGATCTCCATCTCAGCCACGCAATTTTCCCATCAGTTTTGAAATCTGCAAAGTATTCATTAGGGAAAATGGAGGCATATATTTCTGAGTGCTGTAAGAAGATGCTCAGCCCATTAGTTCATCCTTTTAAAGGTTTTCTTTATGTGTCCTACTCAAACACTGGCTCAGGCTCATCTACTCTACAGAGTCATAGAGCTTTAGCCAAATCTCGCCCCCTGAATATGTTCCACAGTGATTTGTCCTACGGCTCAGAAGCTGGCCCACTCGTTGACAGGACTGAAGCACCATTTTCTCCTCATAAGCATTTGTACAGAGGGAGGACTGGCATTTAGTCTCCTGCAATGCCCAGATTGAACGTTTGCTAGCTGGCTCCAGGGCATGCAGCTGACTAGTCACAGAGGACAAACAGAATCTTTGCCCTCCTGGCTGCTAGTCCAGTCTTTTCCCTACTGGATCATTCTGTGCCTGTGCCATGAGGTTTCTGCCATCTAACAAACAGTGCCAGCCAAGCAAAGCGGGCATGCAGGCTTGCAAGCTGTTCTCATGGAAGCTATTCCTCCCCACAGTTTGGGACACTGGCCAACAGTCCTTTAGCGGGAGGTCGTCTTAGTCCATTTTGTCTGCTATAACAAACTACCATAGACTGGGTGGCTCATAAAAATAGAACCTTATTTCTCACAGTTCTGGAGGCTGCGAAGTCCAAGATGAAGTTACCAGCAGATTCAGTGTCTGGTGAGGGCCCTTGCCTTAGTTTATAGAGGAAACCTTCTCACTGTGTGCTGACATGGTGGAAGGGGCAAGGGAGTGCTCTGGGGTCTCTTTCATAAGGGAATTAATCCCACTCTTAAGGGCTCCACCACCATGCCCTCATCACCTCCAAATACCTTCACATTGGAGATTAGGTTTCAGCATATTAATTTGGGAGAAGGGACAGACACAGTCAGTCTATAGCAGAGGTCATCTTTTTTCAGTGTCAAAAAATGTTGTTGAGTCCCACACAAAGAAAGTTCTATTTATTTTATTTTATTTTATTTTATTTTATTTTATTTGTGGAGATAGGGTCTCTCTATGTTGCCCAGGCAGGTCTCAAACTCCTGGCTTCAAGCAATCCTTCCACCTCAACCTCCCAAAGTGTTGGGGTTACTGGCGTGAGCCACCACGCTGGGCCTATTTTCAGTATCTGTTATTTTAAAACATTTTTAATAGTCAACAGCCACTAGAAAATGTAATAACACTTAAAAAGATTGTTATTTTACTTAACCAATAATATCTGCATGCAAGTGAGTGATGAACATACACAATGGGAAGTGGATTAAGAGGTTCTCAGATAAGATTTGCTAGTTTAGACCAAATGAGATCAGGAGGTTCTACAACACAAGGGAGGAAAGGAGCCTCTGTCCACCCCAAGCCAAGGCACTGCCAACCCAAGGCAATGCTTAGTGGAGAAGTAAAAAACAGAACAAAATGCAGTACTTTCTGTGAGAGGTGGTTTCTGTGGACTTGGTTTCTTACCGTATTTCCTCCAATATCTGTTAATTAACAAGCATCACGTAAACCTGTTGCCTTACAAACTCTTGAAAAGGTGTCCTTTTGGGGAATGTGCTTGGGGAAAGCAACCCTTAAGCATGGCTCTCTGCTGCCCAGCCCTGCTCCCTCGCTCAGAAATTCCTCCACCATCAACAGTACCGCTGGGCTTGTGTCCAGAAGGCCCTCAGGAGGTCGAGGTAAGAGGATGCTTTGTATCAATGGGGACAGGGATGGGAGAGGTAATAAGAACCGGGATGGGGGCCAGGGGACTGGCTGGGTTCTGGTGAGCATACAGAAGCTTTGCTCTTATCCGCGAAGGAATGCAGGTTTTGCAGAAAGCGCATTGGGCATTTCATCGCATAGAAAGCTACTGAAACTGACACTACATGCCTTCAGCTAGGGAGTCCGGCTAAGGGATTATGAAAGGCCAGCTGATTCCAAAACTACAAATCCCAGGCTCCCTCGGGGGATGGACACTTGTGAGAGGAAGTGGGTTAGCCAGTCAAACCTTAGGGTTTCAGCCAGTTGAGAAAGGATAGGGAGGGAAGCTTTAAAAGGAATGTGGGCCCACAAGCCTGGGGTCTGTCTCTCTCTCTCAGTCTGATGTGGCCTCCTGTCTAATTGTTTCAGTCTGTCCGAGCTGGTAAATCCCTAAGCACATAGTCAATTTACACTCAGCTTAAAAGCTCTAGAGGGAGACAGGAAAAATTTCCAGTGAGACCACTCACTCACCTACAACTGCTAGATTAACCTTCTGCATTTTAGCTGAGTTAACTCATGTGTTTTCTTTAGTGGGAGGAAAGAGGCAATTTGAGTAGACAAATGAAAATGAATATAATGCCAGAAACTCTGGGTTAAATGCTGGCCCTTCCACCTCCTGGGTAACTTGTCTTCATCGATTAAGTAGGACCTGAGTTATATCTCCTGCATGAGTTTCTATGAGACATTGGACGACAGTGTGGAAGACCCATTGCAGACTGCTGTACAGGAGGTTTATGGATAATCATCATTATCTGCTAGTATTGGCTAGTATTTTTCAAGAACATTCATTAAGTTCTGCGTAACTGGTGGGCACCCTGTTTGGGGAGTTCAGTGCAGTGTCATTTTTGTTTTGTGGTCAGAAAGACATTTTCCAAATGGGTGCAAAGTAGGAATAAGTTAGGTTTTCCAGAGAACCTTTGCGTTTTCCCCATCCACAGCCCTCCCAGTGCCCTACTTGGGATTTTGCCCTTCCTTGGCTCTATGTGTGCACCTAAAGCCAGCAGAGCATGTGGCCAAGCTGCAGGATGTTGCAAATAAATTGAGATTGTTATAAAGGAATGCTAAAAATGTGCTTTGACAGAAATGTTGGATGGGATTTTTCAATCGGCTAAGAAATAAAGGTTGGGAGCTGGGATTTTATTCCTTGCAAGCTTGGATTCAGACTCTTCGCAGACCTAAAGCCACCTGTTAGCTCCATGAGAAAAGGAACTGTCTGTCCTATTTGCCGCAGTGACAGCAGTACACCGTAACTGGTCAGTAAATATATGATAAGTGAGTACACGAAGAACAGGCCCAGAGTCCGGAAAACCTGGTTATGAAGCCCAGCATGTCCACTGCCTATATTATAATTTACTGTTTTGGAGCTTGGTTTTTCCCATCTATAAAATGAGGATGATTATAATAACTATACAACAGTATCACCGGAGTTGGCCGGGCGCGGTGGCTCAAGCCTGTAATCCCAGCACTTTGGGAGGCCGAGACGGGCGGATCACGAGGTCAGGAGATCGAGACCATCCTGGCTAACACGGTGAAACCCCGTCTCTACTAAAAAATACAAAAAACTAGCCGGGCGAGGTGGCGGGCGCCTGTAGTCCCAGCTACTCGGGAGGCTGAGGCAGGAGAATGGCGTAAACCCGGGAGGCGGAGCTTACAGTGAGCCGAGATCGCGCCACTGCACTCCAGCCTGGGTGACAGAGCCAGACTCCGTCTCAAAAAAAAAAAAAAACAGTATCACCGGAGTTAAGTAAGATAATGTACATAAAAATGCTCTGTATGTTGAAAAGAACTAGAAAACTGCAAGATTTCCTAGGTATTATTGTCAAGGTCTTACTGTTTTCATTGAGGGGCAACTCCTCTTTAAATTCAAAATTCTGTACAGGTCTCTGTTCCTCTCTGATCGAAGATAGAGTGAAACCTCACTATTCTATTCTGTATTGTGAATATACAGAATAGAATTGTGATTTTTTATAACTGTAAAATCTTGAAACAGTCACGAACTTCCAGAAAAGTTAGAACAGTACGACGAACAGTTTTTAGTGAATCATTTAAGAGAAAGTTGCCAACCATGCTCCATTAACCCCAAACACTTAAGGGCATATTTCATTTAAACAACAACCTTTTCCTACATAGTCCTGTATAATCAA